TGGATCCGGCCCAATCGCCCGCCTTCTCAATCTGGCCCAATCGCCTTCTCAATCCGGCCCGCATACGGTCTGGGAATCAGCGTGTTTTCACATGAGTAGAATGTGTCCTTTTATTTAAAACGCATCTCTGGGTTATTTGTGGGGCATAGGAATTTGTTCATTTCTTCCCCCTCATATAGTCCGGCCCCCCGCTGAAAAAGGTTGCTGACCCCTGCTATAAAATGAAAGGATTCAATCAGAAGTGAGGCTGGACTGCTAATTGTATTGGCTCTTAAAAATTAAGGCAAGGCGTGGGATTCCGACTCACTGTAATCCTAACTGTCTACTCAGAAGTAAGTTCTCTTGAATTAAACGAGTGTTACTCCCTGGTAAGTAGGGTTGGGGCTGCAGCCTAAGCCAGTTGCACATGGTTCCCACTGAAATAATAGACATTACCGATCAATATTTTTAAAAATACTGTATATTATTTCAATGTAGGCAAATGCTTCCATGCAAAAATAAACTACATACTGTACTGCATGTCTGTTACTGTTATGTTTTGTTCTTACTGTAATCCAAACATTCACTCTTCCTAAATCTACACCATATCACTGAAAGCCAAAACCTGTCAGGGATAGGTTCTCCTTTTAGAAGACAATGAAACAGATGCCGTTTTAAACAAAAGCATCGGCAAAAACTCCGGCTTCTCTCAATTTAACATAATTTGCTGCCTTCTTAGCAGCTCTAATATCCCAAATTCTCAACAACCTAGTTTCCACCTCGGGGATTTTAACATCTTTCCAGAGAGTCTTGTCAATCATATTTTAGCTGCAACCAGGAAATATTGAATAATGCCTTGAAAGTCCCTCCTTTACATAATCTTGAAAAACTCCCCCAACAACAGGGCCTCTGAAGTACCTAGGAGATTATAACCTATCACGAAATGAATAATCCATAAGATTTCTGCATGGACGTATCCACCACATATGGAAAACAATCTTCCCTTTTCTTCCACAATGTTTTTTGTCAATATTCTCTTCTCAATCCTATAACCTTCTTTAATTTCTTGGGGGTGTAGGGGGGTGTATAATGCCACTTAGAAATCACTGAGTAGTAAGATTTGTCCGGTGACAAAAAAATTCCAGACTATTATTCCATATATAATGCTAGGCATTCTCATTAATACAAACCAAGTTCCTTTCCTTGTCATTCTATACAGAAGGCATAGGCAAACTCGGCCCTCCAGATGTTTTGGGACTACAACTCCCATCATCCCTGACCACTGGTCCTGTTAGCTAGGGATGATGGGAGTTGTAGTCCCAAAACATCTGGAGGGCTGAGTTTGCCTATGCCTGCTATACAGCTTTTTAGGATTTGTATTAACCACACATGCTTACAGTATTTGGTGTTTTCTTTCAACACGTTTCTTAAGAAGCTGTTGTTGACCTCCTCAAAATCACTGTTGCATATTTTCTCGGAAACATAATGGATATGATCCAGAACTAGACTGCAATCCTATGCACGCTTACCTGGGAGTAAATCTTAACGAACTAAGTGAGGATTGCTTCTGGGTAGACAAACACAGAGAGTGTACTGTGAGTTTAGCTGTACTTAGGTCCCCCTGAAATCAATGGAAACACCCCTTAAGTCCCATTGGTTTGAATAGCTCAGTTGGTAAGAGCGTGGTGCTGATAATGCCAAGGTTGCAGGTTCTATCCCTGTATGGGACAGCTGCATATTCCTGCATTGCAATGGGGTTGGATTAGATGATCCTCAGGGTCCCTTCCAACTCGACAATTCTATTACAGTATTGTACACTGCTTAAAGTGGTTCTCGAAAAGGACCACCGTTTTGTTTTCTAAAAGCTGGAAGAGAGACGAAATGTAAGAACATATGAATTCTTATTCAGGGCGAAATCTATCTATCTATATCTATCTATCTATCTATCTATCTATCTATCTATCTATCTATCTATCTTCCTTTCTTTCTTTCTTTCTTTCTTTCTTTCTTTCTTAAGGTTACCAGATTTTTTCCAATGAATATCTGGGGACACTTTTCAACTTCAGTGGATTTTGTCAGGGGACTGTCCCTGGGAAACAGGGATGTCTGATAACCTTAATCTATCTATCATCTATCTATCTATCTATCTATCTATCTATCTATCTATCTATCTATCTATCATCTATCTATCTATCTATCTATCTATCTATCTATCTATCTACCTATCTATCTATATCTATATCTATCTATCTATCTATCTATCTATCTATCTATCTATCTATCTATCTATTTATCTATCATCTATCTATCTATCTATCTATCTATCTATCATCTATCTATATCTATCTATCTATCTATCTATCTATCTATCTATCTATCTATCTATCCAGTGCTTTTTTTCCTGGGGGTACACAGGGGTACGCATACTCCTAAACATTTTGTGAATCTGAGTTTGGCCTCACTGAGGGGCAGTACAGTGGTAGCTCAGGTTACAGACGCTTCAGGTTACAGATGCTTCAGGTTACAGACGCTTCAGGTTACAGATGCTTCAGGTTACAGATGCTTCAGGTTACAGACTCTGCTAACCCAGAAATAGTACCTCGGGTTAAGAACTTTACCTCAGGATGGGAACAGAAATCGCGGGGCAGCGGGAGGCCCCATTAGCTAAAGTGGTGCTTCAGGTTAAGAACAGTTTTAGGTTAAGAACAGACCTCTGGAACGAATCAAGTTCTTAACCCGAGGTACCACTGTATTTCAATATGAGTGGGAAAATGAGAGTACCCCTAAACATTTTTTTAAAGAAAAAAGCACTCTATCTATCTATCATCTATCTATCTATTATCTATCTATCTATATCTATCTATCTATCTATCTATCTATCTATCTATCTATCTATCTATCTATCTATCTATCTATCTATCTATCTTCTATCTATCTATCTATCTATATCTATCTATCTATCATCTATCTATCTATCTATCATCTCCATCAAACCCTGCGCACTGTCTCTGATACAGAGGCTAGGCACATGCCCTCTGGTAGCTTACAACCAGGGCAAAATAGAGACAGCCACCACCTATCATTTTCCTCTGGCTGGTCTCTGGGAGTGAATGCCAAGGCTTCACTTGCTAATTTCCTGCATTTATCTCGATTTCTGCCCGTGCTATTGACTATCGCAGCTTTCCATGAGCGTGAGCTTCTGTGTTTGTTATGCATCGCATGGCGGGGAGTAACCGAGCAGCAGCTCAGGATCTCACTTCCCAACCTCCTCCCTGTGTTTCTGTCGCTTGCCTTGCCTTATCTTCCTCGACACCCCTTGCTGCTCTCTCTCTCTCTCTCTCTGCTTTCCAAACACTCTGCTATGAGACCTCTTAGCCTCCTCTCCAGCATTCAGCCCTGGTGTTTGCTGGTCATTTGCCAGGCTCTCAACCTGACCCATATGATGAAAGAACCATCGTTCTCCTGAGCCTTCACTGCAAAGCAACTGTGACCTTTTCCCGCTGGCTTGGAATCCCGAGAAAGGACTTCTCTGGCAATTCCCCTCCCCAAAGCAGTTTCAGCTCAGGGTTTTTTTTTAATGGAGCAACACATCTGCTTTTCATATGATTCCCTCCACCTCTGGCTTGCTGCTGTCTTGACCATTGCATCATGGTGTCTCTGGGTACAAAGTGGTGATCTTTCCTGCATAAACAGATGGACCTTGATGGCATCTGGAATCAACTTATTTTCTCCAACCGTGTGATGGATTGGTGAGGTCAGTGGTTGGCCATTTACTCAGCAGCGCACTAGGCAGGTGCAGGTGTCGGCCAAGGTTGCTTGGTAGAATCATGGAATTGCAGAGTTGGAAGGGACCATGAGGGTCATCTAGTCCAACCCTCTGCAATGCAGGAATCTTTTGCCCAACCTGGGGCTCAAACCCACAGCCCTGAGATTCAGAGTCTCATGCTCTACTGACTGAGCTACCCCAGCTAAGTAGAAAGCTAAGATCATTTGCATAGGCTTACAATACACTTTTGCATTTAGCTTGATATCTCATGTTTCAGGATGGGCATTGAAAATAGGCTCCTGGGCTGAGCCCTCCCTCAGATGGAGCCATGCACAAATCCAATTGCGGAGGGGGAGGGGAATTCACCAGCAAATCCTCCTGGTTTTTCTTTTATTTGTTTATTTGCTAACAAAATTGATATGCCCACTTGGGTGCAAAGTTGTCTGGGCCTCTTAATGCAAACATGCTTCCAAAATTCCAAACTGTTTATCTTCTCATTTCATTCGCCACCCACACCCACTTCCTTACACGAGATTGATTTTGAGATTATTGTTTTTAAGGGGTGGGGGGGGGAGAGGAAGATGTGAAGATACTGAATTTAAGAAACTGTTTGTAATCTGACTTTAGGCTTGCCTACCTGGGAGAAAAATCCCACTGAACACAAGGGGGCTTACTCCAAACCTTCAGGTTTTTGTTTTTTGTTTATTAAAGATTTTCTTGATTTATAAAAGTGTGTGCAATGTCTCTCTCTCGTATATATTTCCCCCCCATGTAACATTTTTACAAGTCAGTTTCATTTGTTGAGACATTGGGAAGAAAATGTCTCCTTAATCTGAAAAGAAATGTGCAAAATCTCTAGCACATGACACGGGATCAGCCATTTTGGCATCCTCTTTGGAGCCTTTGCCACAAACTCCCAGTCCTACCTGCCCACCCTCCTTGGAACCTCTTTCCCCCCTCTCTGTTCAGTGCCTGCTTATATGCATCTTTCACAAGGCAACTTTCATCCTCAAAGGCCTTTGTATTGTGCTCACAGTAAACTCATCACACGATTCTTAATGTTCCCATTTCACAGATGACGGAACTGAGACCGAGAGGCTTCTACGAGCCCAGAAGGCATGGGCCCAGGAGCCCAGAGGCGAGATTTGAATCTAGGCCTCTCCCACATCAAAATCCAGCTCTAGCTTCCTGGGCCATGAGTGCCACCCCACCCTCTTCCCTGTGAAGCTGGGATCCCATCGAGGAAACGACTCACCTTGATAAGTTTGCAGCGGATCTGGGCCGAGACCATGTGGCTGTTGCGCAGGTTCCCCACGCGGAACATGAGGCACAGCTTCCCGTCTCGCTTGGAGATGACTGCGGCACGGCTGAACATGAGGGTCTCGGCTCTTTTCTTGGGCTGGGACATCTTGATGAACATGCAACCAATGAGGAAGGCGTCCACCACGGAGCCCAGAAGCGACTGGAAGAGGAAGAGCACGATGCCCTCAGGGCAGCGCTCGGTGATGTAGCGGTGCCCGTAGCCAATGGTCGCTTCCGTCTCGATGAAGAAGAGGAAGGCCGAGGGGAAGTTGTAGACGTTGGCCACGCAGGGGTTGTGCCCAGGGCTGTGCCCGTGGTGCATGTCCAGGTCTCCTCGCAAGTAGGCAATCCCCCACCACATGGAGGCCATGACCAGCCAAGCCACCGTGTAGGTCAACAGGAAAATGAGCAGGTTCCATCGCCACTTGAGGTCCACTAGAGTGGTGAAGAGGTCCGTCAGGTAGCGGCTGTTCTCGCTGCCCAGGTTCCCGTGCTGGACGTTGCAGCGGCCGTTCTTGTCCACAAAGCGCTGGCGCTTCCGCCGCGCCGACGTGCCCACCACGGCCTGGTATTCGTCGCCGAACTTCCTGCGCACCACCGACATTCTGGTGATGAGGAGGAGAGCTTGCCCTGTGGGCTTGGCACGTCCTCCTTGCCTGCACCGGAGAGCAAGAATCAGACTAGACAGCCGTCTCCGATGCACACCCAGGACTTAGGCTTGTCTCCTCAATTCTGGATTATCTTCTCGGTTTGCTGGGAGCCAGCTTGCTCAGTGCATGGTCTGGGCTGAGGTTGGCGGATCTCTGGGCTGGTGTTGGCAGGGAACCCACTTTCCGTGAGCTGGTTCTGGACCCGTAAGCCGTTCTGGGTAGCAGAAGCTGGACCCCAATGGCCAGGCAAGAGAGCCCGAGTTGGGTTGGCTGCTTAGGTGGTCACTTTTGTATGCTGGTCATGACTGGTGCCAGGATGCTGGCTGAGTTTGCACGCCGGATGTGTGTGTGTGTGTGTTTCCTCGCTGGCTACGGGTGGCAGCACCAAGGTCCGGGCTGGCAGGGCACTACTGATGGTCACCCCGGGGGTTTGGATGGGCACCGATTCTGCCCGCAGGAACCGATTCCGACTTCAGCAGACCTTTCTGCCGCTGCTGGCGAGGGTCCTCCGGGTCTCTCTTGGGGGGTGATGAGACCTGGCCACACGCACACGTGGCTTCACTGCCTTGGGTTGGGGTGTGCGGTCCACACGGGCTGCCCTCGAGGGATCCGGAGCTGGATCCTTTTGTTTCAACCGGGAAAAGCAGCCCCGCCCCCCCCTGGAAGCGGGTCCCTGTCCCCGGGGGCCTGCGCCCCGCTCCGGGAACCTGCCCCGTCGTCCCGCCACCTACCTCGGAGGGAACTCGCCACTCTCTTGGCAAAGGACGGAGCCTCCCCGACGCGTTGGGAGCGGCGTCTGCTTTTGCAGGAGCGGGTGGGCGAGCGCGGCGGGCTGCCTTCTTGGATCCCGCGGGCTTGAGCTGCCTGGGCAGCGGCGATCCGGAGGGATGGAGAAAAGGGAAGAAGGAGAAGAGGCTTTGCAGAGTCCTCCCTTCCCTCTCTCTCTCTCTCTCTCTCTCTCTCTCTCTCTCTCTTTCTGCCACCCCCACCTTTTCCCTTTCTTCTCTCCAAGCTCCTTCCCCCAGCGCGCTGGGATTAGGAAACTTAAACCTCTGCGGAGGTCCTTAATTCTCCAGCGCACCCAGAAACTGGGCTGCTGTTGCTGCGGCGGCGGCGGCGAGGGCGTGCAGGCGGGCTAGCAGCTCGGAGGCGGCTGCTCGGAGAAGTCCCAGCTTTTTGCTAAACGTGCAGGAAAGCGGAGCTGGCGGAGAGGGTGTCGCCGCGACGCCGCCTGGCGGCCGCCGGAGCCCCTGCGACATTCCTCTCTGCGCGCCTCTCCCGGAGGCTCCTGCGCGCAACTACCATCTCCCGCGTCTGCCCGCGTCCCGGTCTTTGCGGCGGCTCCCCGCGCCCCCCGAGCTGGGGAAAGGAGCCCCTGCGGACGGTGCCGGCAGCTGCCGCTGCAAGGAGCCGCCGGCAGAGCGCGGGAGGCGCGCGCTTGCAGCGGGGAGTGGCTCAAGTCCCGCGTAAGAAAGGGGTCGAGAGGAGTTGGAATTAATTCGGATTGAGGTCTCTCTCTCTCCCCCCGCAGACGCAGAGCAGCGGAGACTGACGCCTGGGCTGGTGAGGTGAGAGGGGGCGGGACCCGCGGCTCCTCCCATTTCCTCCAGATCTCCCCCCAAAGGGGCTTCCCCCCAAAGAAGGAAAGATTGATGGGAGGTGGGGGTCATGCCGGAGGATAAAGAGGTCCAGGCTGAATGGGAGACCCAAGGGCCTCTGAGCATGAGCAGAGTGACTTCCCTCATCGCTAAGCACCTCTAAGGGATTCTGGATCGAGTGGAAGGGCTCTTGCCCGAGGGCATCCGGGATAACCGCTTTGTTGAAGCAAAGCGAGTCAGGGTCTGCCTCGTAAGGGGAGCAAGGGCCACCTGGCTGGGAGTCTCATGTACAGGTATGTAGAGCTGGAACGGGACTTTGCAGGTCTCCTCGGCCGCCCCGTTGCTCATTGCAGGGTCTGCAACTGGTCCTTGACAGACACCCGTCTCAACTCTGCTTAAAACAGCAAAGGAGAACCTCCCACCTCCTGTGGCAGGCAGTTCCGCTGTCAAACTGCTCTTACCATTAGGAATGTGTGCCACTTTGAGTTGGAAGACTCAGGGCTGGATATACAGTACTCTAAAAAAATAATACACAAGGAAACCTGGCATTCTGTTCCCAAAGGTGTTCTGGAAGCCCACAAACATGGGAAAAAATTGGCAGCTCTCTCTCACACACACCATTTGTCCCCCAGCCAGTGGCGTAGCGTGGGTTGTCAGCACCTGGGGCAAGGCAAGTAATTTGCGCCCCCTAACCCGTGGATTTGCGCCCCCTAACCCGTGGATTTGCACCCCCTAACCTGTGGATTGCCCTAACCCCAGATGTTGCGCCCGGTGTGGCTGGCCCCCCCCTGCACCCCCGCGCTACGCCACTGCCCCCAGCCTACTGTATTTTCCAGCCTACTGCTTCTGAACATGCAGGTTCTATTTAGCCAGCATGCCCGGAAGTGGCTGGGGAATAGATTTCTCTTCCACCAGTTCCTCGAATCCCCTTTGAAACCACTCTTAAGCTGCTGGCTGTCGTCAAATCCCGAGGCAATGAATTCCACAAGTTAACACTGGTGAAGAAGTGCTTTCTTTTGTAAATCAAACACATGAAAGCAGGGTTTTCAAAGAGGCTTTGAACTCTGGTACATCTTTCTATAAAGACGGGGGGGGGGGAAATAATTTATCATATTGAGAGCTCACTTGCTTACTTTAAAGCATGCCAACATAGAGCATTAACCAGCTGATCTTTATGAAATCTTGCTGGGGGGGGGGCAGGGAAATGGTGCAAGTCCATTACAGTATTTATTGCAAGTTTACACCTCCCCTTTTCCAGCTCTTAGAGATGGCTCCAGAGTGCTATTTTTATAAGTTAATTGTTAGTATCTTTGCTGCACTGTTCTGTTTTAACTAATAAATGCACTGGATTCTGTAGCTCTTCCATTTTGGCTCATAAGAGTGAGTTTAGGTGTTGCATTCAATGCAGGCATAACCTGGCCTCGTGCCATAAGGGCCTATTCTATCTGCAAATCCATGTTTCCAAACTCACACAGATAAGCTGAACATGGAAAGGCCATTTGCTGAGGTGAGCAGGTGTGGTTAGCACCCAGGCTCTCCAGTTCTCTTTTGCAAATACCCCTCCCAATGTCATTCCCAGTCTCCAGCCAGTTTAGGAACCCGTCTCGAAGGAAGAAATCGAAAGGGCATTTGCAGGGCGGAGGATCGGCGTGGGTGGGAGGGGTTAAGCATTTGCATGGGAGAATCAGCAGGGGCAGGGAGGGGTTAAGCATCTTCTTTCTGTCTGATTCTGTCTTGATTCTGCAAGTTGGTGACCCCACATTTTCCTGGTAGCTGGTTGTTGTCCCCCCCCCCCAACACACGCAATAGGCCAAAATGGAAAAGTCTGGACTTGATCAAGGAGGTAGGAGAGGGAACCGGTAGCACGAATTACTGTGGGAGACAAATGTTAGGTACCTGCTCTGCTTCCCCTCATTCGATGTGATTCAGTGGATGTAAATTGCTTTGAGCGTTGTAAACAGAAGAGTGGCTCATCAATGTTATGGCTACCTGAATAATAGGTGCACCCTGCTGTGTCTGTCTGGGCATACTGTCCCATTTTCATGCCTCCGTGACATAAGTGTGCAAGCTACACACACACAAACACATGCACTTTTGGGGTCGAAAGAGAGCTTACAGCCACCAAGCCCATAAAACAACCTTGCTCAGAATTGAGTTATTATTCTGGCACTGTCTTTCATTATTTCTCTTGCCATATGTTGGGAGAACAGGAAACAGAGCCCCTCCTTTTTCCTCAGCCTAAAACTGTAAAATCAGATCTTAATTAATATTCAGTACTCCCCCCATTAAACCCCACACTCACCTCCCCAAAAATACTGTTCCTGACTGCCAGCCAGAGAGGTCCCTGGAGTGTGGAATCGGCTAGGATTCCCAGCGACTGTTTTCAATCTAATTTCTTTGCAAATCAAGCTGGTTCCTCTCTAGAGGGAACGCCGTAACGGCAAAGGATCAGATGAATTGTAAGGAACGAACATGCCGAGAACCGGAGGCTTTCTGCTGTCGAGCTCTCTGAAAAGTGCCTTGCCATTTGGGGACTCACGTCCCTTTTTGTGGAGTGCTCAATTCAAACCAGAGCACTTTCTGGAGCCAGAAGTGCGGGGCAGAAGTTAGACAAAGGAGATGCACATCTCATTAGAGCCGAGTTGCACTGTGGCTTCCACCTACGGTTATCCTTTGTGCTCTTCCGCGCGCTCAATTACTTGGCGCCAACATCTGTCAATTTCCTAATCAGAAGAACAGCTTGGATACAGGTGACAAGGCTGCAAAGCTCGTTCCTGCCTCCGCTCTTCATCTGCCCTCTGCCACCTTTCCATTTTAGCTCGTGGGGAGCGGTTTTTGCTTCCTGTCAACACCTGTTCTTATCTGCCCCTTTGAGCATCTTGCCCTGATTTGCACCAGAGTTTTCTGGATTGAAATTGAGGAAAGCAAAAGCGAGGGGCCTCAAGCTTGCCAGGAATTACGTTGGTTTGGGCAGCCTTTATGTTAGAGGGGGCAGAACATCAGTTATGTACAGTGGTACCTTGGTTCTCAAAGCCTTGGTACTCAAACACCTTGGTTCCCAAACGCCTTGGTTCTCAAATGCCAAAAACCCAGAAGTAAGTGTTCTGGTTTTTGAATGTTTTACGGAAGCCTAACATCCGATGCGGCTGTCAGCTATTGTTTCCAGGGTGCCTGCACAAATCAGAAGCCATGTCTTGGTTTTCAAACATTTCGGAACCCGGTTCAACTACTGATTGATTGATTGTGTGATTGCGGAAATGGATAAAAGCCCCCCATCCAAACAATGTCTATCATCAGTGCAGGTAAGGAAAAAAAATACTTTTAATTTTTATCATCTAAATTTATTGTATTGATTATTGCTTTCATTTGATGGATCAATGGTCTTGTTAGATAGTAAAATTCATGTTAAATTGCTGTTTTAGGGGTTGTTTTTAAAAGTCTGGAATGGATTAATCTGTTTTGCATTACTTTCTATGGGAAAGTGTACCTTGGTTTTGGAACGCTTTGGTTTTGGAACGGACTTCCGGAACAGATTATGTTTGAGAACCAAGGTAGCACTGTATATATATATTATAATAATCTTTATTAGTTTTCAGTTACAATCCAATAAAAGCCTCTTTATAACAATACCAATTTATAATACAGTTATTAATACCAATCGTTCAAATACCGAATTATATAATTTAGATAAAGTGCCCCCCCCCTGTGTGCTAGAATTGATGGTTTGACAGTTTTCTTTATTTCTGCGTTCCAAAATCTTATTAATTTCAATTACATTCCGGTCATAATAATAATCCCTTATACAACAACTGCAATATTAATAACTTCTATTCATGTTGACACATTAAATAGTTAAGTATTTTTATTAATTTACTTGATTGGACCCATTAAATTAAGACTTGACTTTCTCTGTGTTGGAAAGGAACATGGTTTAAATTGTGAGTCACTGTTCAATGCAATTCAGCGGGATGCCAATGTACCTGCTTAAAGAGGAAGGAAGAAGGGAAATTAAGGCTTCCTAGCCTAGATCAATTCTCTGATGATGAGAATTGGAAAGAAATAAACCGAGAGCACATTGTATAGAGCTGAACATCATGTCCTGAAATTATAAATGGCAGAAATCAAATGCCGAACAAACTGCAGGAGGCAGTGGAAGACAGGAGTGCCTGGCATGCTCTGGTCCATGGGGTCACGAAGAGTCGGACACGACTAAACAACAACAACAGGACAAAGCAATCATGGCATCCTCTCACATCTTCTCCGAGAGAGAGAGAGAGAAAGTACAAAAGTACAATACAGTGGTACCTCGGGTTAAGTACTTAATTCGGTCCGGAGGTCCATTCTTAACCAGAAACTGTTCTTAACCTGAAGCACCACTTTAGCTAATGGGGCCTCCTGCTGCTGCGCCGCCGCCGGAGCATGATTTCTGTTCTCATCCTGAAGCAAAGTTCTTAACCCGAGGTACTATTTCTGGGTTAGCGGAGTCTGTAACCTGAAGTGTATGTAACCTGAAGCGTATGTAACCTGAGGTACCACTGTACAGCGGAAGAGATAGAACTGGCTTCTGTTCTCACAGGCATGTGGAATATAAACACAGGAATATAAACACAGGCATGTGATGTAACAACCACACATCCAGCAACGGGAGAATGAAATATGCTGACATCAACCGTGAAAACTGATTTCGTATATATTGGTAATCTAAAAGCTAGAATGCTTTAAATTCCCACAAATACCAATGTTTATTGTTTAAGGACATGATTGGTTAGAACTTGGGCCGCAATCCTAGCCCTTCTTGAATTCTGCAGGACTTACTTCTGAGTAGGCTTGGTTAGGCTTTTGCACTGTTAGTTCTTCATGTTTCCCAGTTCCTGGTGTTGCTGGATTTGCTTGAGGTTTTGGACCACCTTCACACAAGATAATTTCCTATGGG